CATAGTGCTTGCGAGATGGACTCTTTCATCGGAGGGTCCTATTTCAGCCAGAGTTGCTCCTATATAAGGAACGAGGTATTGTAATGTAACCAAGGTTAAAACAACGAAGAAGGCCATTTTTTTTGTTAACTGTGCAACAAGAACTAAAAAGCAAAAGTAGAAATTGTATTTTTTTAACATATTTTTCTTCTAACTTGATTTAGCAAGAAAAATTTAAATATAAATAAGTTAATAGAAAACTTATCAGAATTTGTGTCGAATGTGACAACAAGCGATAAAGTAGTAGTGACAGGGCAATGGTAAACGGCTCGAGTAAGTGACGAGCGTACATTTTTTTTGATTAACCTGGAAATCCAACCCGCTATGCGAGCCGACTAATCCCAGGGCGACCACCTGCTTTGCAGATAGCTCGAAGTCACCACATTTGAACCTACGTGACCACAATGAGATTTTTATTTCTCCTTGGATTTGAACCTGAGACCTTCTGGTACTTTTGACCTTTGGAGTCAAGCTCAAACCAATCAGACACCACCCTTGCGGTTAACGAACGTACATATTGTAGGAAAAACAAAATAGATAACAATAATAGAGAGAATGAATATGTAATTCTCACCAACGGTAAGTTCTATAAATAAGAACGGGCAACAAATAGATGACCGTAAGATATGTCTTTTTTAATGTATCTGTAATATGTCTATAATTATCTTATATCATGATATCCATTTGAGGAAAGCAAACTTATCCTTCAATAGGATTGATATCCTTTAACCACCCCCCTACTTTAATATTTATAGATTAGCATTTTTTTCTACGACTATGGAAGGATGGAAATAAAGAGTTGACATGATAGATACTTTCCAAATGTAAGGTTGAGAGAGTTGAAAACTTTTCTTTGACCAATCAAAATTATTTGATTTATGAAATGAGATAGTGGAAAACCTTTTTTCAACCAATTAAAAAATATTTAATTTACGAAAATGTAAAAATATAGGAGGTGTTTGGTTTATATAATGAAAATTGGTGTAATTGAAATTCATCATAAGAATTTGACTTTAAAGGATTTGGAATGAAGTTTAACCATGTGTTTCATTGGTAAAAATTAGAATGAAATCTCTTAGAAGAATTGGTGTACTAGCGGTAGTAACCTGGTGGTAGGTGGTGCCAAAGGGGGTCTCGCCCTCCTCCTCACCCCCACCGACCACCACGCCACTACTATTGTCGTCACAACTACTAACCCCACCCTACCCCATAATCTCCCCCACCCCCACCCACGTTGTACTACCACCGACCACCAACACCATGCCATTATTGTCGCCATGATCAACAGTTTTTTTAGCCTTATGGTCAACCTCCATTTTGGCCTTATCATCATCAGACCATATAGTGGGATCCTTAGGTAAAACTCGAGCAGGTACCTCTTTAGTTGTTGGGGTCGTAGGGATATGAGGAATTGTAACCATTGGAATATGTGGTCCGTTGATCACATATTTGTATAAATCCTTGTCTAATCCTAAAAAAATTATCATATGTATTTTCCATTGAAGATATTCCTCATGAAGAAGAGTTGGAGGTTTAGTTTGAGATCATGCGCTATGCGCGGCATTCCGCACGAGATTTGCCATTTTGACAAGAAAATAGAAAAACGAAGAGTAATTGTCAAATTGAACTTGAAACCTTGTTTATCATTGAAATTAACCACAAAAACTTGTTGAGAGAAGAAATCTGTACACTCTTTCTTCTAAGAAAAGTAATTAATCACCTAATTTTCCAGAACTATGAACTTGTCACAAAAACTGGAAAACATGGATCTCTGTTGTGAACTCAAAATCAAAGAAGAATAGTCTACTAAAAGAGGAAAATCCATAACAGATTGTATTGATTTGATTAGATATTTAATCAATATGCTCTTATACCAATTATAGGAACCATATCCTCTTTTACAAGTATTTAAGCAAATAAGATGACATGACCGGAAGCATTCCATAAACTATTATTATAGACTAAAAAAAAGTAATGAAGATGAAGGTTGGAATAAAAATAAATTTCATTTTTTTTGTCTCAATCGATGTTATAATACGATTTTATATGGTTTTGAAAAAGCGTGATGTTTTTATTTTTGAATAAAACATAAATATGACGATATCATAAAAAATTGAAAAAAAATATTGATATTAGTATCAAACTAACTATTCAAAATTTCTTTATTTTTTGTGTATTTCTTTAATTCATTTTCTATTTTTGGTTTGATAATATTTTTTTTTTATAAAGATAATAATTAAGTATTTTGTTAGAAGTTGACTATCCTAATTATAATTTAGACTTTTTATATTTAAAATGAGATGTTTATTCTCTATTTAATTATGTTTATCTGCAGTTAGTTATATTAATTTAAACATGAAGCTTTAATAAAATAAATTGTATTTGTGTACAATTTACTTGTAATTTTGAATTTTAAGTAATATGCATTAATAAACAGTACTTCATGCATAAAAAATGGCTTTTAAGAGTTTTTATCAAATGCTTTATAATATAGTATAGATACATGATTATCATCATACAAATATTAACCATACATTTATATTTAAATAGAAGCGCCAATACTTTTATAAACAAATTTTATAGAGCATAAAAAAATGTGAATTAGAATTCTATGAGACTCTGACGAATCATATTTTACGTTTATAACATAAAACATAATAGAATAATGTTTATAGTTTAATTATATATAACAAAAAACACATGTTTTTACAGAATTATTATATTTGTTCAAATCATAAAACATAATATGATGATGTTTTAAAGTTAAAACATATAAACTTACCTCAAATATCGAATTTTATCTTGATTTCACGATCACTTCGTTTTAGGGGAGTGTATGTCTTGATAACGATTTATAATACGAAATAGAACAAAAACATATAGAAAAAATGAATCTATAGTTCTCATTAATCATAATTAAACCCTCTAAATAGAAGTGAATTTACAAAGAAAATGAAACATTCATTGTGGTAAACTATAATATTTGGAATGTATTATTTCAATCAATTTGTATTAAGAATGACATATAATCCCTTCAACATGATATATATATTTTTTATAACATAATCAAGATTACTAGTTAGAGTTGGATTCCGGTGAGAAACGTAAAAAAAAAATTCTTCATCTTTGGATGCACATTAGGATGAGATGCACCGAGATGCACATAATTAAGCATACAACATATTAAGTATAATTCATGGGTGAATTTGAGATTAAAAATAATCAATGGTCTATATTATTTCTCACGCTTCTCATGTTAACTGCTCTTCTCACACGATTCTTTGTATTACTGATTAACTATAATTTTTAATAATTTTATGATTTATTTATGTACACACTCTCGGACTTTGGTGGAAACAAAGATGGAAGTTGGTGGGTTTTGGCAGTCCTCCTCCATATGAAAACAAAGGGAGGAAATTTGGTTTTTATTGTAGGACCTCCTTTACAATTTTCTTACAAAAACATGTGTGAAAGCTTTTCTTTGCCTTTTTAATTATATAATAATATTTAAATGCCACAGGTTTTGAGAATTTTGTTTTTGTAATATTACGAGATGAGATTTTATTATAAATTGATGATAAAAAAATCATTTTTAGAGAGGATTTTATAATAGGTTTGGATTTCGATGAAAATAAAAGTTATGGTGAAAAATAATCTTTATTATTAGCTCAATTTTAATTGAAGATAATTACTACATTAACATTAATGAGATATACTAAAGGAGTGTTTGAGATTGTTTATAAAAATAACTTATTGATTTATTCTGCTGTGGCACCAGTAATAAACACTTTTGATTGTTTGGATAAACAAATTATATCGATGCTAAACCGGTAACAAGAAGTTTTTGAAGAAGTTAAATCATTCTAACTTACAATAAGTTGTAAGGACTTTTGTAGAAAAGTATAAGTGGTTTCAAATGAGCAATCCCAAACAACCCTAAAATTAATTACCTTATAAAACGTAATTTATAGGTCGTTAAAGTAATCAAGGGTTCTCATCTTAACTCATGTTCTCATACGATCATTCATCTTTTAATGTATTAATGTAAGTAATTACATATATTATTTTCTTGAACATGTTTATCATTTGATCTATTTAAAAAAAATGTATAATTTATTAAAGTTTCACAATAGATCAAACAATCAACAGTCCTACAAAATAAATCAAAAGTGAAACTTTAATAAATAGATCAAGCAAACAAATTATTTAAAAAATTGAATGATTTATTAAATAGATGAAGAAAATAAGTTATTTCTCGTTTGATTTCCTTTATAGGATTGTTGTACTTTTTATCTCAGACATGTAGCTCATTTCGTAAACGGATGGAGCAATTTTATTTAGATACATAACAAGTTTAAATTCAAATTCTACAGGAGGTGGGCTTGAATCCCTCTGCTAGGCCTAGCCGATAAGTCAACTTTAAAATGTTTTCTCATATGTAGTTTCTAGAAGACAAATTCAATGTGAGATCAGTCAAGATTGCCAATAATCAACCTTTTACTTAAATAATATCTGGTCTACAAAAAGATGGAAATCGTATTTTTGAAAAGAAAATTTATTATTATTAAAATTGTATTTTGAAAAGAAATATTATTATTATTGATATATTTTAACTAATAAAAGTGGAAAAAAAAACCATATTAGAAATATGTGAAGGATCGTATGAAAAAAAGATTTAAGGTAAGAAGCATAAGAAATGATTTAGACCCTTAATCATATTTAATTTCAAACTAACATGTAAATCGTATTTGACATAGGGTTTGATTTAATACATTCATTTCAATACATCTCATCCTAATGTCCCATTAAAAGATATGATGCCATACTCAACGTATTCTCACCTTAACCGAAACCCAACCAGTTAGAAATATAAGTTGTCATTAGGCCTATAAATAAATTCACGTCTATTGTCTCGTGATCACTCATTTCCACCGATATCCTGCGAAGCCAAACACAGGAACACTATCGGTGATCACTCATTCCCACCGATACAAGCAAGTGGTGGTTGTTGTCGTCTGACTCGGCGGCGACTGCGACATTGGTCGGAGAAATGGCCGATCAGTTTGTTATTGGTTCTGTTTTCGCTTCTGTTGTCGGATTTATTTTGATTTATTCATTCTTCGTTGTGAAAAGCGTTCGAAAAGTTCTTCCGGCCGATGCCGGAAATAGCAACGGAAAATCGTTATCGGTAACGACAAGAACAATATGCATCAACGGAGAATGCAGATCTGAAACCGATGCCGACGTCATTATCGTTGGCGCCGGAGTTGCCGGTGCGGCTCTCGCTCATACCCTCGGCAAGGTATAGAACTTCTTTTTTATCCGTCGAATGTTGTTAACGTCTACAAATATATTCTTTTGGAGGCAGAGCTTATTAAAGTTTTTCCTCGATGTCACTTAAAGTAACTTGATAGTTGATGTCTCAAATCGTCACGAAAGTTTCTCATCTTGATCCAATCTAAGCTAATTTTTATGAATAAGCAGCCAAGCAGACACATGTAACCTGGTATCCACTATGTATATTCGTTAGGGTGGAAATTAGGGCCAGTCTGTTATGTTGCAATTCCATTGGCACTATTTCTGTAGGGTTTATTAACTTGAAGCCCAGGAGCTCTTCCAGATTTTTTCCTTCTTCGTTGTACAAGTCATATTCTTTTCTAATAGTTGATTTCTCATGCTGATTCATTATATTTGTATGCATAATACTGATATCTTTGAAGTAGTTTTATGTCTCGTGGTGCAACTGTTTATTGCATGAACGGCGAATCAAATAGCATGTTGAACGGGTCAAGAAAAAGAAAGAGTAAAACTTGGAACGAATATTTATTTTGTAATTGTCTTCATCAGTAATACCAAGTTGACACAAGGCAATAGTGGTCAAATGTGCTGTTAAAAAAACCAATAGCTGGAAATTTTAGCAGGGAGCACCAATCAATTGTATCTGGCATAAGAACAACCTGTAACACTTGACAAATGTTTAATTTGATAGCAGTCTTTATTTGTCATGTAATGTAAATGTTGTCATACACAACTGCAAATTGATCAGTGTTATGTAATCCAAATTTTGCCATCAATTTTTTTCTGAACACCTCTTAGAGAGCATTTATATTTGGGATATACTTATGATTAAAGCCATTATTTCGGGGACTTTGTGATTTCAGAATACTAGAGAAGGGAATTTCTTTGTTGCATTATGCCAACAAGAATCTCTCCCTTGCCCTGTCCCTTTCTACTGTACATGCCAGCAATAGCAATGGTTGAGATGGTTCCTGAGTATGTTTTATTGATTATATGACTTGGTTATACTGAGCAATTCGTCTAATGCTTGTCATGGAGTCGCAGCTTATTTGGTAATGCGTTGGACTGTAGGATGGACGCAGGGTACGTGTAATTGAAAGAGACCTGACAGAGCCTGATCGAATTGTTGGTGAACTGCTACAACCAGGAGGTTATCTCAAACTCATGGAGTTGGGGTTGGAAGGTGCGGAAACAAACAATCTCTAGAGCTTCAATTAACTACTGCAGTCCACCTCTTTGTGTATACTGATTTTTTTTTGTTGAATATTCTTTCTTGGATGATTTTTCTATCATTCTCTTTTATTCTCTACCAACAGATTGTGTAGAAGAAATTGATGCTCAGAGGGTTTTTGGGTATGCTCTTTTCAAGGATGGAAAAAATACTCGACTCTCTTATCCTCTGGAGAAGTTTCATGCAGATGTGGCAGGCAGAAGCTTTCACAATGGCCGATTTATACAGAGAATGAGGGAGAAAGCCTCATTGCTCCCAAAGTATTTTATTATCTCCTTATTTGTTTGTAATTATTTAATATAGACATAGTCTCTAGATACAGATTTATTAATGCTATGAATCCTTGCCCCTTGTGAATATGTATGTAGCGTTCAATTGCAGCAAGGAACAGTCCTATCTCTTCTCGAAGACAATGGGACTATTAAAGGGGTGATGTACAAGACTAAAACTGGGGAAGTGATGAAAGCATATGCACCACTAACCATTGTATGCGATGGCTGTTTTTCAAATTTGCGGGGCTCTCTTTGCAATCCCCAGGTGATGATGACTTCACCTCATATTTTTATAGCGAATTTATCAAACCATTAACATGACAATGTATGCATAGGTGGACGTGCCCTCATGTTTTGTTGGTTTAATCTTGGAGAAGTGCCAACTTCCATATGAGAACCATGGGCATGTCGTTTTAGCAGACCCATCACCCATCTTGTTCTACCGAATCAGTAGTACAGAAATTCGGTGTCTGGTTGATGTACCTGGTCAAAAGGTACCCTCCATTTCAAATGGGGATCTGTCCAAGTATTTGAAGACTGTAGTTGCTCCTCAGGTACGAATGAAATAGCCATAGCTGCTCCTCAAACTTGTTCGTATGCTATTAAGGTGGACATAGAATGAAATAGCCATAGTTGGATACTTTTCAAGATGAGGTATATAATATTTACACATGGCAAAACTCAATAACGTTGTGGTTTTCTTATACAGATCCCCGTGGAAATGCAAGAAGCTTTTGTGGCAGCAATTGATAAAGGAAACATAAGGACAATGCCAAACAGAAGCATGCCTGCTGCTCCTTACCCAACTCCAGGTGCTTTGTTGATGGGCGATGCATTTAACATGCGTCATCCTCTGACCGGTGGAGGAATGACTGTAGCATTATCTGATATAGTCGTGCTACGCAATCTTCTGATGCCTCTTCATGATCTTCATGATTCATATACTCTCTGCAAGTATCTCGAGTCCTTTTACACTCTGCGCAAGGTCAGTCTTTCTACCATCGTTGGAATCTATTCTCGTTCACAATGATGGTCCCACTTAAAGATAGAGTAGAGAGAGTTGAGTAAGTGATAGGTGTGGTGTGTGATTTTTGCAGCCGGTGGCATCCACAATTAATACATTAGCAGGAGCTCTGTACAAGGTTTTTTGTGCTTCAGCTGATGAAGCAAGGCAAGAAATGCGAGAAGCGTGTTTCGACTATTTGAGCCTGGGAGGTGTGTTCTCAAACGGACCCGTATCTCTGCTCTCGGGTCTCAACCCTCGGCCGTTGAGTTTGGTCGTACATTTCTTTGCAGTTGCGATATACGGTGTTGGACGTTTGTTACTTCCATTCCCCTCCCCTAAACGAATGTGGATGGGGGCCCAACTCATCTCAGTGAGTAGTAGTATTTTTTTTTCCCATTTCTTTTTCTTGTAGAAGGTATTGGAATCTAAAGCTGATTGAATTGTTATGTGAATGCAGGGTGCCTCTGGAATAATATTTCCAATCATTAAGGCAGAAGGAGTGAGGCAGATGTTCTTTCCTGCAACAGTGCCTGCATATCACAGAGCTCCTAAAACTACTGGTTCAAACCACTAGGAAATCTCTACCTCTCTTCTTGAATGTTACTTCATAACTTTGGAAATGTAAAAAAAGCTATTTTGATGTAAGATTTTTTTTTTAATTTTATAAAAAAGCTATTTTGATGTTAGATGTTTGTATAAAAAAGCTATTTTTTAATAAAATAAAAAAGTAATTATAATATACAAATTAATTCTAGCTACAAAATACAATGCATACCATTAAAAAAAGCGTATATGAGTTTTTGTGTTTTAAAATTATTAACCTTCAAAACTCAAACTAAAGGTGCTATATGATAAATTCAAGGAGATATCATTATTGTTGGTTGTCGATCAATCTTCAAATATTCATGGCAGATCTGGATTTAGTAATAAGAACATGTAGAAGGAGACTTGAGAGGATTTGTCAAATAGTCAATTTTATTATGTACGTGAGATTTTTACAAATGAACTCCTAACTAAAATTACACTAAAAAAATCTATTTATATGGTCAAAGTATTAACCCTTCAAAGTCAAAGTCAAATATACTAGAAAAGTCAAATACAATGTCTATTTAATTATAGACAATTTTATCTTTCAAGACGAATACAATTTTACACTGAAATTCAGTCCTAACATTCTCCCCTTTTGTATTCAGGCTTAAAAGAATTTACGCGCTTTAAATCTTGTTTGAACTTTGCCATAATGAGCACTTTATGACTTCTTCAAAACAATCTTCAAAAACAAACTTCACTTTGAAATCTTCAGATGATCGTTTGATGAGAAAATCTTCTAACATTCTCTTCCTCGAATGTAGAACAACAATGATCTTCTCTTTTGACAATGTAGAACAATATCAACAACGAACTTCAAAAACGATCTTCAAGATACGATATTTAAGAATCTTCTTCAGACAAATAGATTCTAACATTCTGTCCAAAAACAAATTTCTTCAAACAAAAATTCACAAACTTTCTCTTCGATGAGAATCTTTGTCAATAAACTTTTGAAATGATGATCTTCACATTAAAAAACTCTCAGACATTGTAGCATACGAATAATCTTCTGTAATAATCTCCAGTCACACTCCTTTTGAGCCTTTTGCCGACATTGATGTTATTCTCCCTTGATCTTACAACATATTCCCCTTATATCGTTCGGAATTGAACATTTCATTCATTATTTTATACTCCCCTTTATGATAAAATGAGAATCATTTGCATCATACACTAGAATGAATGAAATCTTTAGTGAAAGCCGTCAATTCAGAAAATTGTAAGCAGATCTTTTCAAATCCACTTGTATAATCTTTACAGATTTAGAGGATGGGAAAATAACAACCAATTTCAACGTATGAAATTGTTTTCAATCTTATAAAAAGATTGGCCTGTGAGTATAACAAATATACTCAGTACAACGGATGTACTTCATATACGAGACTTTATGAGGCTCATCTCACCAGGTCTTCCATTCAATCATTGATAGCTTAATAATAGCATATCTATGAATATTCGGCAAAATAACACATAAATTGCAAAATCTATGTAGTGTAGAAAAATAAAGCAACAAATCTTCTGTTTAGGCTCAAAAAGATAAACCGTGTGGACTACACAAATTTATCAGACTCAATTAGTGATCAAAAAAACTTGAAGGGGGGACATATATCCTTCTGTTTCAATATCAACTTTCTCCGAATGAGAAATTGATAGATTGTGAGCTGCGTGCCCCAAGTGTTATTGAAACACTTATCTGTTGAGAGATAAATGAATAGCTGGTGGGGTTGTGACAAAAATTGGTCTGAGCTTTGTCTTTTTCAATATTAGTCTCAAAAGAATTGAGAACTAATAGATTATGTGGTATGCCCGGAATTTAGAAGTTTGGAACATGATTCTTATGTTCTTTTAATCCTGACACAACTCTCATCGATTCTTTTGGCTCACAACAACTACCCCTCTTATTTTCATTTTAATCTCAGCACACAAACCCATTTTGAATTTAAAGCTCACTCATATATGGTTGTCCTCTTGGGTAGGTTTGTCGGTTCTGACATTCCATAGAGGTATTTCTGTTAAGCACTCAGTCCCTCCTAATTTTTTTTTTTGCATTGTAAGCTCAATTGATCACAAACAATTGATCAAAAATAGTATTGCAAGTAAGACACAATGATCAGATAAAAATTTGATCAGGATGTAACTTTGAAGCACAATCAATAAAGGAGTGATATAAGAATTCAGATTATTCAGAATGTGAGAAAAACGAATGAAGATCTGTAAGTGCGAGTTTACAGAATCTGAATATTCAAAGAATTATAGAATGTATATCAATCAAAGCAAAAAAAATCAGAAAACAAACTTTGATTACTAACGAGCGTATTATCACCGAAAATGATATTATTTACGAGACGTGATAATAACAGTTTGAAGAATAGCTAAAACATGTATTGGAGTTATGTTCGATGAGAAATTACACAAGTAAAATCTCAGGAAATATGAGAAATACATGTTCAGAAGATGTACTCGTTTTCCCAAAACAAATCATTTATTGAAATTTCTAGAGACTCCCCCTAGAAAATAGATTTAAGTAATGTTCAGTTCAGTTCAAAAAATTTAATTTTTTTTTGGAAACTTTAAAGCACGTGTCCTGAACTGGGTGTTTAGAAACTTAAACAGTAAAGCACGGGTCCTGAACTGTGTTGTTCAGAAGCCTTAATCGTTTAAGCACGGGTCCTAAACAGATATATTCAGAAACCTTGTTTAGACAGTTCACAACTCCCCTTGAATTAGTGCAATCATTTGTATAAATTTCTGATCAGCGTAGTAATGACGCACCTGCAAAATGAGATTAAACAGATTTTGGTACCCTAATAAACTTGGGTCCTGTTTTGTTAGTATCAGGTTGAAGAATATTGTAACTGCCAAACTATTTATTTCTATTAGATGTTTTCTTTTTAGCACTTTTAACAGGTAGATTAGATACGCAGTAAGATCCATACCAGTTATTGTAATCGTACCTGTTATTACCTTTCTAATTCGTCTGAAATCTGTTATCATCAGTCCACCTGTTGTACCGTTTCCTGTTAACAAAATCAATTGTCTTGCAAGTGGAGCACATGATTTTTCTATTGCTAAGATTAATCAGATCAGTAGTAGATCTCACAAAACAAGGAAGATTGTTTGTAACAACAGAAGTACGAGACAAAACAGATTCAGTCTTATTAACCCAAATGCTTTTAGCTTTTGAAGAGTAATTGGGTGATCTGATAACATACCCCTTGATAAACTGACTTGAAGAACGAGAATAGTTCTTAGAAACAGTAGATTTAGGATTGCTTGAAAAACTGTTAGACTTGGAACAGTCATAAAAGCTGGTTTTACACTGTGAAGGAGAACTAGTTGAGCTTTGAGCACAAGAAAAGTCTTTGACTTTCTTTAAAAGTTGGTCTCGTTCAACAGCAACTAAATCATACTTATTTTTGAGTTCAGATCTCATTTTCTGTTCAGTTTCAAGTTCTGCCGTCAGATCAGACAATTTCCTTGAAGTATCCAGGAGTTTACCTTCTAACTCCTTCTTAAGCTTCTCAAATTTCTTCTTTTGAATGTCAAACTCTCTTTTCTCTTCATCTGAGCTGCTTTTCTCATTTTCAGAAGCGATATCGAGCCACTTTTTCTTTTCAGCAAGCTCTTTAGCTATAGCTGCATATTTCTTTGTAGTATTTCTCTTTTCAAGCACAAATTGTTTTTTTTCTTCATCTAAAGCCTTTTGCTTTAGAGCAATGCTTTCATACAGTTTCTGATTCTGGCTCAGACATTCTTCTCTGATGTCGTTCTTTTCTTTATCTATTTTGGCTCGTTCCAAGATAATCAGCTGCTCAAAATCAGATATTTGATTCAAAAGCATTTTCGCGTTCAACTCAAGAAAGTTGATCTTATTTCATAAGATACATGTTCAGCACCAAATTGTTTCTCTAAATCAAAAAATCTCTTCTTCTCTTTCTCAAATTCTGATCTTTCAGTATTCAAACTCTGTTCAGTTTTCAAAACCTTCTCCTTCTCTAAGTCCAGTAACTTTCTTAACTCTCAAACTTATGAAGTTTATCAGTTAAATATTATTCCTTGAAGAGTTTCTCTCAGTCTGTACTCTGTAGTGCACTTTTAACCTCTTGAAATTTATTAAACAAATCCTTATTAGCTTTACTCCACATTTTCAAATCATCATCATAATCTTTTCTGATAGAATTCAGAGTGTTTTCCAACTTTTCAATCCTATAAATGAAGTCCTTCTCAATACGTTCACATCTTTCTTTATGTTCCCGTTTTAAATCTTAAAACAAATTCTTCATTTACGTGATTTTCATAGAACATATTGATGTATTTATCTGTATAGTCCTTCACACTCTTTTCCAGTTCAGAAATTTTATCTTTCAATTCCATATTTTCCCTCTCCAAAGAAACTGCCATTTCAAAATCAGATTGATCACATAATCTAATGTTGTGAAATCAGTTCAAGGAAATCAAAAACTGATAAGCTCAAAAAAAATAAATAATAGAAAAACACAAAAACTGTTGAGAAATCAGAAAAACAACGAAAACTGTAAAAAATCAGTAGAAACAGTCAAAAACTGTTGAAAACAGTTAAAAACTGTTAAAAACAGTCAAAAACTGATTAACACAGTTTACGCGACGCAAAATAGTTCAAAAATTCTCAAAATAGTTAAAAAACGATCAAAACAGAGAAAACTGTAAAATAAAAAAAAATCACAACACAAAACACTTAAAATGATAAAAAAAATAAAGAGAAACAAAAAAAATCTAAGACATTTGGGCGCCAAAAAAAAAGGACTAATGAGCTTAAAAAAATGGATTATAAAGCTTGATACCAATTGAAAAGTTCCTAAATGTGTTCAATCTTCAAACATCCATGACAAATTTGGATTTAGCAATAAGAACATGTAGAAGGAGACTTGAGAGCATTTGTCAAATAGTCAACTTTATTATGCACATGAGATTTTTACAAATGAGCTCCTAACTAAAATTACACTAAGAAAATCTATTTATAGGGTCAAAGTATCAACCCTTTAAAGTCAAAGTCAAATATACTAGAAAAGTCAAACACGATATCTATTTAATTATAGACAATTTTATCTTTGAAGACGAATACAATTTTACACTGAAATTCAGTCCAAACAGGCTCCACAAAGATAAATATACAGCAATAACAATTGCAGATTCGGATGAATACAATACTTTCAAAGATTAATAATTATTCTAATTATCAACTTTTTATTTTACAATTCAATAACTGTTATGGAAATTAAACTATAAATAAATCAACACGTGTCAAATGTGTAATTCATTACCACTCTTCCAAGTCCATAGTGGATTCTACCCAAGTCTTTAAGTAACCACAAAGGGTTTAAATGCAGAACAAGTGAGTAATGGATGTACAGAAGCCTTGCTCTTGAAACGGAACCTATACTATATTTTCGTACATTCATCTTCTAAGCATTCACTTGGTCGCTGCTTATTCTTAAAAGATAAGATTCTCTTCATGATTTGATCGTTTCATATCTTTCTCTAATAATGTGTTAAATATACTTTTGTCATTTTTGTTTGTTAAATAAGCGGGAAGTGTTCAATTAACGGATGCTTTGCTTATTTGTGATTGGCTCAATCAGTTGAACATATATATGTTGGTTCACTGATTGTTGGGGCTTCCTATTTGATATCTTCATCATCACACAAGCACTTGCACTTGATAACCAGTTCAAGAGGTGAGTTACTACTATTAGTATAATCGACTAGTTGCAGTTTACAAACTTAACCCAATATTAACCGAGTGTTGTGTTTTCTTGGTGTTTATCTGTCGTCTAATCTTCTTTTTAACCGAGGCTTAACAATTACTTGTAGCCAGCTATTTTTCACTTTGATCAATTGTGTGGTGACACAGGACCTAAATCCAACTTTCATGCATTCATAATAAGAATTGATGAGTGAACGCAATTTGACAAACAAGACTGATGCTGTGGATAGCAACACGTTCATATGATATTTGTTAACTGAAACAACAATGCTTCAAATAGAAGAAGATAATTTAATAAAAGAGAAAGTAGTTGCAAATGCAATGAAAGAAATACAAGTACAAAATAAATGAGAATAACATATAGAAGTAGATTAAAAATAAGTACAAGTTGAAGTTCCAAACTGATTGAGGAATTAGCAATGGCAATGGCAATGGCAATGGCATTGGCAGCCATCACATTTTCCTAATTTCACAAGTTTATATAATGTAATTATTTAGTAAATCACCAACCATTTGATACAATCCTTTTGGCAACTATATATATTGTCAAGGATCAAAACTCTGCAAGATCCCCCGAAATATGGGGGTGTCTATGTTTTTACACTACTCGAATCCCGACTTGAATGCTTCTGGGGTTTATGTCGATAGATGGTAGCCTCCAAAACTGCCATCTGAAGATTTAAAGAGCAATAATCCACTGCATATTCTCTATTTCATCCTCTTTCTTTCGGACTTTATGGCTTCGTAAGATGTCATAACCTCCTTGAACCTCGCTTCAGCAACCTCTGCAACACAACACAATTGTCAATTTTTCAACAACAATCCTTAGCTACTATGTTTTTGTTTTTGTGTTATGTTTCATTACAAACAATAATAAACCTTAAGAATGTTTGTGGTCGAGTATTATTTTGGAATTAGGTTAAGATGCATATGACCGATATGGAGTCTATATATGGTACAAGCTGTACAACTTATGTACTAGGAATTATGTATGCGGTTGGTTACAAGTACTTGATTACAATAAACTGATAGATTCCACATTGTGTTTTTGATGTTCGACACCATGATCTTATAAGATTTGGCAAATAGATGTTATAACTGGGAAGTTGCTCGAGGACATGTATATGATGACCCCTCCAAAGAATACTCATGTTAGTTGCATGTTATGCACTAACTTTATTAGTTTTAGTTGCATTTAATCCTTAGCTCGGTCTATTCATGCATTTTTTGATTTGGTCTTTCCACCATCTATAATGATGGTTTTTAAGCTTCGTTTGTGTGCAGATTATTAAAGATCTTGAAGAGTAGGACGCATAAAATAAATGCATATAGTTAATATAGCTTTATTAGTTTTAGATACTGCTTATTGCTTATTGCTTAAAATTATAAATATGATTTATAATTATTATTAATGTGATAAGAACACGAAGAGTGATAAGAACACGAAGAGTAGGACGCATAAAATAAATGCATTTAGTTAAATAATCAAAAGCGTTTTTGGTTACGGCTTTGTTTAATATAATGAAATAAATTAAGGTTGGAATTAGAAAAGATGTTCATGTCATATTATTTTGTTTGTTACACATAATAATTACATGTCATATTATTTTGTGTTATAATAATTACACGTCAATTATTCGGTTTAGTTTCTGTTGCTTGTTTGATTCCCGGAATCCCAACGAATTTTCATATCAATACCTGTCACTATCAACTATTCCGTTAGTGGGGCCTCGTGGGGCGAGTTCTCATATTCCGATGGGTCCAAAGGTTGGACCTACACACCCCTGGTTGGCTTATGGTGTAAAACACAATTAATCTTCCATGATTTGAAGTAGGAGCATAAGTGATTTTGTCCAATTCAATTTTTAATGGAGCCATGGCTGAGCTACTCGATTTATTTTTTCTGAACCGAACAAACCCAACAAAACTTATCAGCTTCAATTTGATTGACTTCCATGCTTAAAGTGATCAGTTTGAAAATTTTAAAACCAGAACCTAATCACACTATAACAAAACTCCACTGGTTTGGTCAATTGATTGAATAATCGAAGGTGAATCAATCAGACAGGACGGACGTGTGATAACAACACTTCGATCCGATTTAGTGGTTAGATGGTTCACACATATACCCTTTTCAAATCACTTTTAGTCATGCATAGACAGCTGTCGGTGGAACAGAAAGCTGAATTTTTCAAACAAACAGGGGCAGCATGAAAAAAAAGGCCTACCTTTGTTTTCTTGATTCTGATCAGGGTGATATTGCTTTGCCTTGCTCCTGAATGCTGTCTGCATCAATGAAAAAAACTGAATTGTTCAACCCAGTTTACATTTCTGTAGCACTAATGGTGTGCATGTGTTTGATGGTAAGAAAATCAAAATTACTGGTCCAGCTGGGCACTTGTGGGTTGTGTGGCGAATTACCAGCAGTATATCAATAGGCAGGTGATAGAACTTCTCATCTCCCCACCCCTTCCCACCCCAAAAGTTTGGTCACCTACCAGTGAGGTTTCCAGGGCTGTAAAATTGAGAAAACAAGAGAGCATGGTTTTTGTTCATATACCTGAGGGAGTACCTCTGTGAAACAGTGATCGATCTAGGTCATTTCCTTAACTCCTTTTATCCCTAAAAATTGTTAATCTAGTCATTGCATGTCAAAAGTTCTACGACTCATCATATGTGAAAAATTCTATGAATCTAATGCAAAGGAATAGAAGCACAAACAAAGCATAAAAGGTCAAGAAAGATTTAACCAAATATGTCATTTACCTTAATTTCATCATCTGTGTAAGGCTTCGTTGTTGACCTATTACAAGAAACGATAATTAAAAAGAAAATAAGTGACCACTTGTTTAAGTTAACATGAACAAGAAGAAAGAAGTACGTGGACAGAAAGAAGGTGTGTGCTCTACGGCTCTATCAAAAGGTGTATACCCTATTCTCATGCCAATCCAATGTCTGTGTTGAATCTATCTCCTAGGGTGTAGGACAAGTTAGCTTTGCAAACTTAAAGACTATGGCAAGCTTGAGGCAGGCCAAGCCAGCTAATCTGACTATTCGAGCAAAGCTTTAGCTTGCCAGCTCATGAGGCATTTTGTGTAAATTTATGTTTTTAATTCACTAGTCTTACTAGCCTCTTGGAGACTTCTGGTTGTATACTTTCAAAGAAGCATTGCTTTTAAAAGCAGCAGAGGCATGCGCCTCAAGGAGCGGCCAAACTTCATATGTGAGGCGGGGACTCCTTCTCCTCTGATGGGGTGTACACCTTAAATGTGTAGGCGGTGGTTAAGCGGTGAGGCGGTGATACATATCACAGGCGCAGTCTCTATTAAATGGAGTCATGTAGGTCTATTTATTTATTTAAGTAGATAATGGTGTACACTAAAGTCAAACATCAACATCACTTATTTATTCCCCCTTTCACACAATAACAAACATACATATATTGAAACCGGGAGCTTCTCACTCAAGTTAAATAGCAACCGAATCAATAAACCCAAAAGCTATCCTCCCCCAAATAACACGCTCCTGCCAAATATTCTAGGGAAATACCAGAAGTACCCCTCACGCACTTATTCTGTTAAAGAAACGTAGAGAAGTAAGCTATACCCACCAAACCAGAATTACTTTCCCCTCCTATAGGTGAACCATAATGGGACTTTACCAATACCACCCCCCAAAAAAAACTCACATTGTCCTAAAGGCGACAATCGGGAAACTGATGCAACAAAGCCTCCAAAACCTCTCGCGAGGATTCAAATTCAGACATGCCTTCCCACTTTATTAACACTTCCAACAATCCATGATCATCGTTAACAATAGGGCAGATCCAACCGACACTGTGCATAATTCTAAATCTTCAATGAGTTGTGCAGGAATCTCTTTGGTAGAAGCACAGTCACCAATACCTTAACTGAGATACATGGAAAACAGGATGTATCTTGGCAAACTTTGGAAGTTCTAGAACTTGTAGGCAACTTTATTAAGAGGTCCATAGAATCTCACCAAAAGTTTAGGATTATTGCCACTTACCAAAGAACTTTGCTGGTAAGCATGCAGCTTCAAAAATACCCAATCTCCCGAGAAAGAAGATATATCTTTCCACTTTAGTCTGCTTGTTGTTTCATTTGACATTGAGCCTTTTAGAGGTGCATACTTACTTCGTCCCATATTTCATCTAGGTCCAACGACTCCTGCTCTACAAATTGCAGCTTGGAATAAGCCATCTTATAGCGTAACCAGGTGGTGGATCCTTCCCATAAAGCACAAGAAACAGAGAACATTTGAGTGAAGTGTGATGGGAGGTGTTACAGAACATTTGAGCCTTTAAGCCATCTCCACTGCTTTGGTCTGTCCGAAACCCAACATCTCAAATATTGTTCCAACCATTTTTTGACTACTTCCTCTGTCCATCCGTTTGTGGATGGTAAGCATAACTATATTATATTAGCTTAGTACCCTGAAACTTGAACTCTTTTCCATAATACACTTAGAAAGATCATAGCCAACAACTTACTTTCCCACTTGATATTCCGGCTCAACCACCATTTGTTCTAATAAAAATCAAAGGCTCTGTTGATCACTTCGCACAATAAAATGTCTTCTGAGCAAGTAAGGACTCCATTTCCATACTGCCAAAACGATTGCCATCAGATCTTTTTCGTATACCGATTTTTGTTTACCCTCAATCACAACGCTTGACTAAAATCCACTGCTGGATGCTCGTCTTGCATCAAAACAACTCCTAAACAGTACCCAGACGCATCCGTCTGGATCACAAAGTCTTTGGAGAAATTTGGTAATCCTAGAACCAGTCAAACTTTTGTAATGAAGGTTCTAACGCCTCGAGAACGATTGTTTCAATTTCAGGTCCAGCTACACATGAGCCTAATTCGACTAGTACCCCGAGGCCTTCTTGTTGTGATGCCTTCCCCATGGCTTTTAAAAACACCATAGATCACCCCAACGATGGATCACCACGTAACATGACTGGTTTTCCGCCAAATGTGAACTTCATCACTTGTTGTTTCCTATTGATATATGTTGCCCCCAACGTCTCAAGCCATTGCACCCCTAAAATTGTGTCACTGTTGCCTACCTTCTGTCCAATTTCCACCACATTCACAATATTTAGATACATTTCTTCATCTTCAAGAATTACCTCACCAATAACCTCCTCCTAGACGAGTAAGACATTCATTTTCCTTCTTCCTACATGTCAAGCACCCACCTGGCCATTTCACATATCACAGGAGAAAAGCCCAAAGTAAGAAGGTTGGGTGAGTCGTGAGTATGGACGACCTATGTAGCAGGGAATTTTTTACTTAAGGGTAGTAGTGGGATTTTATGTTCTCTTTTTGTTATGCTTTTGGTTTATATGGGGTTTTGTGTAGGTGGTTTGGGTATCAGAAATCATATCATAGTTTTGTATTGGAGAGACCATGGTTCTAAAAAGTGTGTGAAGCGCACGCCTCAAGGCGAGGCGGCCCAAAAACGAATGTAAGGCGGCACCTCTCCAGGCATGGTTGGGTCATATGCCTTGGTTGACAGAAGCGAGGACTAAGTCGGTGAAGCGGTGAGACGATAATGAGGCAGTTGACCGGTCTAATTTGTATGAATCCACACAAAAGCATGCTGCTTTATTTTCTCTCAAACTGTGAAACCACCCACCGTCCCACTTTGTATATATCCTTTACGAGAAGTACACACACATATGTAATATTACATATTATCTAAGTCACCCACCGTCCCACTTTGTATCACTTGGTATATTTTCTTTGTGAGCAATATCGATATATATAAAAGTCAACTCTCCACCGTCCCACTTTGTATCACTTGGTATATTTTCTCTATGAGCAATATGTGTGTGTATATATATATATATATATATAATTCAACTCTCCCACTGTCCCACTTTCAATGTGTGTATATATAGCGTGTCTAGTGGCAGTATATACATTATGTTTTTTATTTTTTTAAGCGTTATATATTTATGCATTTTGTTGTTTTACTTTTTGGGGCTTATGCCTTGATCGCCTTACTTATCTAAGAAGAAAACGCCTCGAGGCTTGTTTCCGTTCCTTAAAACCTTAGGAGAGACTAGCCTCTCGAACAACTAGGTTTTCTCTCTCTATTTTTCCCTTTGAATAATCAATATTCATATGAATTGCCCAATTCTGTTTTGCATTATTTGATTCGATCTAGGTTACACCAAATTGGTATCAGAGCACCAATACTTGTAAAACTATGGCTCCTCAGACAGCTACTCAAAGGATGGAGGTTATAGAGGAAGTGACCCGGGGGGGGGGGGGTAAGAGAAACCATCACAAATCTCTAACAAACCTTACACCTAACAGTTCACTGATTAGATGAAACTTATCACCTAGATGCTAACGGAGATGACAACAACAAACGTCGTCCTCCAGTTCTCAAAACGGGAAGAGGTTCGAGCAACCTTGATGGAGTCTCAAGACTTCTACACTGGGCCTCGACCAAGGGAAAGTACGGTCAACTCTGGAGGCGGGTTAGGAGGAGCAATACCTAGTGGACCACGACCTAAGGTAAGTCCGACAACTTGGGGGTGGTTTGGGGGATTGATTTCAAGCGGAGGGTTAAATTGGCGTTTTCGTAAACTAGATATGCCTCTGTTTGATGGTCTAAATCCCGATGGTTGGATTATGAAAGCAAAGAGGTATTTCAATTTCCATCGTTTGAATGAAGATAAGATGGAAGCGGCTGTGGTTGCCCCGGAGGTTGATGCACTATTGTGGTACCAATGGGAGCTCTTCCACCGTCGACGGCCATTGCATCGATGGGAGGAAATGAAGGTGTTGCTGCTATGTCAATTCCAACCAAGTCATTTGGGACCCTTCACGAACAATGGTTATCATTGACTCAAGTGAGTTTTGTCCTGAATTATCAGCGTAGTTTCATAGAGCTCTCAGCCCCTCTGGCAAATGTTTTCGAAGACATCACTTTGGGCCATTTAATGAATGGGCTCAAAAGCGAAATTAGGGCCAAGGTCAGGTTGTTTGGGTCTAGGACTCTGGATCACGCTATGGCCCTTGCACAAATGTTGAGAACAAACTACGGGTGAGCCCAATTCGCAAAAGTGAGGGTCATGGTTTCTCATCCCCCTATGGTTTAGGAAGCCCGACGTCCAGGGGGATCGCCTCTGCAAACCCGATCTTCGCTCCATCCTCTCCTAACTCGACTATACCGGTTACATTAGGGGTTAATTCCGTCTTAGGGTCACAATCGACCCTCCCCTTAGTTCTATGACTTTTACCAGGCTAAATTTAAACCAAAAACCTACCGGAGAAGTTGAATGACTCTTTGACATAGAGCTCCAACAAAAATGGGAACGTGGGCTTTGTTTCCATTATGATGAGAAGTGGTACGTGGGTCACCGTTGTCCACAACAGGAGTTAAGTGTGCTCCTAGCACATGAAGAAGAAGATGGAGCTAATGAGGTGGAACAATTGACGAAACAGTAGAGATCAATACAAAAACAGAGATATGTTTTAAACTCTGTTATTGGAATTACAAATCTTAAAACTATGAAGTTGTTAGGCAAGGTGAAGGAATCAGAAGTGGTGGTAATGATCGATCCAGGGGCCACCCACAACTTCATATTGTTGGTTGTCATCCAGAAGTTGGGAATTCATGTTACTCAGACTAGGGTTTTGGTGCATCTTTGGGAACAGGAGAAGTGGTGCAACGGTATGGTGAGTGCCAAGGAGTGTTGTTACACTTGCAAGGAACTAGTGTGTTAGGAGGATTTCCTTCCTCTGACTTTGGGAAACT